CTCCCCCCAACGCGGAGAATCAACTCCCTTCAAGACTGGGTTATCTTTTTTTGTCTTCACCTGCTTCCCCTAGGCCGGGAAGGCCTTGGAGGAGGATGGCTGGTCAGGCCCTGGGTCTGGAGACCCGGGAGCTGAGCTTGGGTCTCCGGAAGCTGACGGCATGGCGGCAGTCCTCAGTCCCCTCCCCCACGCCGGGAGGCTGACCGCACAGGCCTCCGGTTTCTCACCCCTGTTCCCTTGTCCTCCCACCCCCTAATTCCCAAGATCCTTGCCGAGGTCGTGGAGATCAGACCACGGCTCAGGACACAAAAGGTCGAGGATTCCTGGGAGCCTCGGGTATTCACAGCCCGAGAGGGTCCTAGCTGGGACAATGCCGCGGCCCAGCCTCCAGGGCCACAAAGCGCGCCAGCCAGCCAGCCAAGGGGAAAAGGATTAACGTCCCCAACTACGCCCGAGTCCATCCAAAGTATCTGGCACCACCGCGGCCGACCAGCATCCCCGCCCGGGGCCACCGTGCTCTCGGGAGCCAAGCTGGGCAGATAGGCAGGGGCGGGTGGGCATTGCCTCCTGTGTGGGTGGAGAGCAAAGAGCTTCCACCTTCCTTCTCCGCTTTCTCACATCTGCTTGATCCCTAAAATCTGTCTGTCCCGGCCTGGTGGAAAGCGATAGGACCACTAAGCCCATTATTCCAGGCGGGAAGGCTCTCGGGGTGACGAGCGGGCCGGGTACCAAGGGAAGCCCGAGGCTCCCGCCTTAATGGACAACTGAAGAGCGGGCAGAGGCGCGCAGAGGGACGGGACCCTGGCGGGCAGAGGCGCGGAGCTCGACAGGTGGACCACCGCGCAGCCAGCGCTACCGACTGATGAGCAGGGCCCTGGAGACCCCCGAGGCTGCCCCTCTTCCTTCAAGCGGTCCAGCCTGGAGCGTCGCGGTGCAACGAAGACGCAAAGGGACTCTAGCTTTAAAGTCAATGCTGTCGACTTGGGGGACTACCCAGCTGTCTGGGGGCGCAGCTTCCGTAACCGCAAATCAGGCGGGTTTTCAGAAGCCAGCCGGCAGTCAGAAAGGAAAGAAACAAGCTCTTGTTCAGACAGCTCTGAGTCAGAAGTTTCTCTGGCGAGCGCGCGACCGCCCCACCTGGCGGGGGTTCTCTGATGGATAGAGGGTGGGAGAAAGCGCAGGTTCCCCTTGGGTGGGAGGAGGTGGGAGCTCGGAGGTGCTTCTTTGAGAGGCTGGGTTGGGGGGGGACCACACTCTCCTGGACCGCCCCACCTGCTTCGCTAACGCTCCGCCCCGGGCCCACTCCGACCTCTTAACTGGCTGCCAGCTGGGATGGCATAGAGGCACACTCTGGGACCCCAGAGAGGAGAGCAAAGAGATTTCCAAAATGTGGTCAGAGGAAAACGATCCACACGGGTCTCCTCTATGCCGCTACTCATCCTGTCCTTCATCCATCCTCCCTCTTTCCCCATCATACCCGGCTCCATCTCTGTGTTCTGTGTTCGCACCACCTCGCATCCCTGAGGCCGTTCTCTCCAACTTCCGAATTTCTGAGAGAGCCGTCCTTGTGACAAGCCGAGAGGAGTCTCCAGGGGAGAAGTCCTACGGCCCACAGTCCCATTCTCCCCCGGGGAAGTCTCCAGGAGGTGCAGGCTCAGGGCATCTGTCTCTCCCTTCTAATCCGAGCGCTCAGAAAGACCTGCCACCATGGGCGCTCTGCCTCCGCCCCACCTGGAGACAATTCCAAACGCGGGTCTTTCCTGGCTAAGCCTTTGACACGTGTGCTGCGGCGGCGGCAAGTCAGTTATTCCCTGAATTAGGCGAGATGCCCCTCGAGCACATCCTCACCGCGTGGAGGGTGTTCCGCGCCCTGCTGCCACCGTGAGTGGCGATGCCTGGGGAGCCTCTCTTCAGCCCTCCTGCCCCACCCCGCTCCTGTCTCCTCTGCCAGGGCCCACCCGACCGCCCCTCTCGGCGCTCACGGCAGGGCTGGTTACCTGCAGCTGGGCGGACGCTGGGTGCCCAGGGGAGCAGGAAGAGGTGGGGGTGTGCGCCCGGCCCAGCGGCTTCGGGGCGCAGCGGCAGCGGCCGCGGCCGCAGGCGACAGCGCCATCCTCGCAGCCAACCGCTTCCCTGTGTCGGAACCACTGCCGAGCCGGGCCGTCCTGCTTCGGACCACAAACTTCTCCGGCGGCGGGTGGAGACAAAGGTACCGCGCGTCCCGGCGGCGGCAGCTCCCGCTCGCAGCCGGCGGGTGCAGGCAGTTCTGGGAGGCCTTTGGGGCGGCCCGGCGTGCTCCGCCCCGGCCCGGCCCCCCGGCTAGGCACGACAGGTCCCGACGCTGCGTGGGCGGGTGCAGGGCTCGGCCCGGACGGTCCCCGCAGGCGGCCGGCCGCGCGCGCAGCTCCAGCCCGCACGGCCGCCGCGCCCCGCCTTATATCCGGCCCCGCGCGCACCCGGCCGGCGGCGGCGCGGCTCGCGGCCCAGCCACCGGTTGCTATAGCGATGTCGTCGCCCCCCCACACACACACACATGTTGCTGACAGCAATTGGCTAAGGGGCCGCGGCTCTCCATACACCCTATCCGCCCCACACTATGAATGGACATAAGCTTTGTCAGTCATTGGTGAGGCGCCGAGCCGGGCCTGCACCGGTTCTTTCTTTCAGTCTTTTCTTTCATCCCTGAGTTGCACTTTATTCTGGCCAAGTTCGGAGTAGCACTGGGGTGAGGGAGTGAGGCCTCGGCTAGAAAACTGCCCTTTGCTCATTGCTGCGTAGAAACTCTCCAAAAGAAAAAAAAAATACAGTAAGCCGAGCCTTTTCTCGCCTTTCCCATCAGAAGCATGTTAATTACCTGGGAACCCCCCCCCCACACACACACACACTGTACAGGGACCCCAGTTTCTAAGACCCACATGCTCACAGGAAGCAGCCTGTTGAGAGCAGGGACCAATGAGACTTTGCCACTATTTGGTCCATGCAGCCGCTCGCCCAACATGCTGCTCTGAGACAGCAATGAAATCCCAGCAATTCTTCCAGCATCCTTATGCTCTTGGCTCTTGTGCTTTCCCTAAACGACACCCTCCCCGCCGTGTGTGTGTGTGTGTGTGTGTGTGTGTGTGTGTGTGTGTGTGAGAGAGAGAGAGAGAGAGAGAGAGAGAGAGAGAGAGTCGCTGGAGCCTACCCAGTTACTTGACTCCCAGCGCAGACCTGAGGCGGGAGTCCGAGTGGGTTTGTGCCAGCCAAGAGGTTTCCCTTCCCTGGGCGCTAGCGCAGCACGCTCCCACTCACTCCTGGCTCTGGCTTCCCACCCTTTGTTTGCCCCAGGGGCAAGGCCGCAGGTTGGGCACCCTGGTGTGCCGCTCCCCCAAGGAGCGGCCAGGAGCCAGTGAGCCCAAACCCAACATCTGTGCGCACAATGCGCTCCTCAAGGCCCACAGCTGCAGGAACAAGGGGAAGAAGGAAAGTGTGGGGGAGCGGAGCCTGTCATACGCAGATGACAGTCTGCGAGGGCTCTTTAGTTCCTCTTTTTCTGGAAACCCCTCCGCCCCCCTCCACCCCATCCCTTCTCCTGCCGCCTTCCCTTTGTTCCCTGCACTTGGGACAGCTGGAGACAACGGTGGCTCGCACCACCGACACACCCCTCGCACACCCGGAGGCCCAGAGCCTCGTCCTGGGCCCCAGACAAACTCTGTAGCCCCCGCTGCAGCTCAGGTGGGGAAAGGTTGGTAGAGCCTTGCCTTTTCATCCACGGGGCGAAGAGCCAGCCCTGCCCAAAGCAAAGGGCCGCAGCTCCCGCAGCCAGGCAAGGGCCAGACTCTCAAAAAAGATGCCCAGTGCTCTCAGGTGCCCGCCTCGGCCCGCGCGGTTTCTCCAGGACCACTTCCGGCTTCGACTCTTTTGTTTAGTTAGTTTTAATTTACAGGGGCTGAAGGAGGGAGCTGCAGAGGCCTGGGGTGGTGGTACAACCTGCCCCAATCTTTTAGGCCTGTGTAGGTTACAAGACTTCATGGGAAGATGAGTTTGAGCGGTGGCGAAGAGGAGGAACCTGGCTTTTTCCAATAGCGGCTTCTCCTGTGCTACAGCAGGTGCAAAGAGTTAACCGCTTGGGCTCCGGGTGCCCCTTTGCCACAGGGCATCCTAACCCTAAACCAGCAGACCCCTTTAAACCTGGTTGCTGCGCAGTGACCCTCTCCAAGGCCCTCCACTGGGTTCTCCAGAGAAAAGCCGTCCTGTTCCTTTCCATAGGCCGAGGGCTCAGCAGTGCTCTGAGGCCAATCGGCTTTAGGCTTGCTGTGGGAAGGACCAGGATGGCGGCGGGGCGGTTCTTCTCAAACCCTGCCATCAACCTTAGGGATCAGCCTGCTTGAGTGCCTGGTGAGTCTATAAGCCCCCAAAGGGACTCTCAGTCCAGCCTTGTGCTGAGAACCGGGAAGGAGAAGAGTCACACACAGGCCGGAGTTCTGGCGTACAAGAACAGGGGACTTGGAGTCTGAGCAAGGCCCAGAGGAGGGGACCTGCCTGCCGCCCTCAGCCCTCAGCCTCTTTGGCAACCGGGCCTCTCCATAGCAACGGCTATGTGTAAGCAGCGCCTCCTCCTCCTTCCCCCTCCTCCCTCTTCTCCTTCTCTCCCTCCTCCTCATCCTCCCTCTCTCCTCTTTTTATCCCCCTTTCCTGTCCATCCCCACTGGACTTGGAGATGACAGAATACTGGGACGGGGACACAGACTTCTCTATGATGAGAAGCTCTGTCTCCCAGGTACCGTGCGTACCCTTAGGGTGAGCGAATCCATCACGTACCCAGTGCAAGGACGCTCACCCTTTGCTCGCCCACTGCTCTCCTTTGGCTCCCCTACTGCGGTCACAGTGCCCTAAGGACGTGGGGGTGGGCGCAGCGGGGGAACACAGGGGCCTGCAGCCCAGGGCGAGACCTGCATATGCGCCCAGGAGATCTGGGCGGGGCAGCGGAGTCGGGGGGGGGGGGGGGGCGGGTCCTGGCTTATAGGAACTCGCACAGCCTGTAGGATGCTCCGCGGGCCTTGTGCTCGGCCCCAGAGCCAGGGTTCGGCCAGAGGCAGAGCACCTAGAGTACCCTAAAGGAGACACACTCCAAGATGCTGCTCAGCGCCACCCCACTTGCTCTCTTCGCCTTTGATGGTCCCGAGCCACAAACAGGTGTGGGGCACAGTCTCTTTGCTCCAAGTGGCAGGGACCCCTCGCGGTTACTTCGGACGAATAGCTGGAGAAGACCAGAGCCCAGAGCAGAGGCAGGCCTGAGCCGAGCGCGCTGCCCAGGCAGCCAGGCAGCTTGGTTTTCCACAGACATCAAAAGACCTGGAAATCCGTAAGTAGAGTTGTTTGTTTTACTTTAGTTTCCCAGTGTCCCAAAGGGCTCCTTCCCCTGCCATGCCTGAGAACCATGGTCCAAATTTTATTGGGATCTGCTAGCTGACCTGCCTTTCCCCTGCTTTGAGGGGGGAGGGGTGCAGAGATGCAGGCAGTTGCATTTTGGTCCCCTTTTCAATGATGAGATGTCCTTAAAGTCACCCTGCGGTTGTTTCTATCGAGAAAAGTGTATTTTCCCCGCGGACCCTTAGCTCCTCTCCTGCGTCTGGCTGCAGGTGCCTCTGATAGCTGGGCCCTGAAGTGGAGAGCCCTAGACTGACATTGTGGCTACAGAGGACACGGAGCAGCTCCGCTCCGGCAGACAGGCGCTTGCTGACCAGGGGAACAGTTTGTACTGCACATGACGACTGACGACTTCTGGGATAAATCGACCCACGAAGTTCTCCCCCCCCTTTCCTTTTAAATTCTTATTTTCAGAGCAGGGGAAGCCCTTTACAAAAGTTTCACAACAATGATAATTCAGCAGTCCTCAAGAAAGTTAGTGGTATTTTTCCTGAACCATGAAAGTTTAGTTCTAATTTCATAATACACTTCATTGTGTGTCATTTCAGTAACATCTGTAGAAAAAAATTAAACAACACAAAATATGTTTGAGACATATTGCTTTAAATCGTTTGTAGATGACCAAAGGGTATATTATTTATATAGAAGTTAGGGACAGTTGGCTGATGAACAAATAAAAATTCTAGCATATGAAACACTCCCTAAACTTAGAAATTTCCTAAACAATAGAAATAGTTTTAAATGATTTGTTGGTCTCTGCTAACTCTGTTGTTTAAAGTGCGTTTTACACTCATGTGTGAGGCTAACTTGCTGAAATAAGAATCTCTCTTTCAATTTAGGGTCCAGAGTAGCCTTGAAGAGCCCTCAGCTAAGAGGTTACAGTCGCCAGAACATGGACTTATTAAAGAAAGCACAGTTTTAAGCAAAACAGAGAAAGGCTGTTTTGGTGGACACAGGTGTGGTGCAGGGAGTGTAAACGGCTTGGTGAAAGTAGAGAATGGTTTCCAAAGTGCTCGGTTTCAGCAAACCAAACCAATTGTTTAAAAAAGGCAAACACTAATTTATAATTATAGCTCACACATAGTGTTTAACATGCCTTTGGTTTAGGTATCTATTCATGAAAACATGAATTTAAATTATTAATTAAAAGTGAAGCGAGAGTCTTAAACTTTTTGTAGCACTTTTCTCACATCTACGAAGGTGAATGACATTTTCCGATAATGCGTTAGTGGGTTTTTTTGGGGGGGAGCAGGATGTCTGGCTAGGGCAGCTTCCCAGGGAGATACTACTTTGCACTGCCATCAGGGAAGAAACACACAGCGCAGGCTGCGGACTGCAGCCCCTGTCAGTGACATTTTGTTTTGTTTTTGTTTCTCCAAGGCCCATCTTTGGGAGAACAGAAGATCAGCCCATGCTGCCACGAGGGCCAGCCACCCGGAGAGCAATCACAGTGAGCTGGAGAACAGGTGCTTCCTCTTCCTGCCGTTTGGGGACCTGCCACTTTGCCTTTTGATGATTGTCAGGTATGGTCCTTAAGGCAGTGCCTCCATTTTGAAATTGGGAAGAGCTGACACATCCTGAGATTATTCATTCAAATGTCTTACTTGATTTTAAGGGGAAACAAATAATCCTTTAATCAACACTTTTTAACTTTTATTTTATTTTATTTTATTTGTGGGGAGGGGAAAGATTTGCCAGCACAGGTCAGCCTTTATTATCAGGTCTAGTGCTGGCTCATGTTCTCATTGGTCTGAAGTTTTGTAAATGGAAAAAATAGGGACTGCACTATGAAGCAGGGCTTCTGCTCCCTCGGTGGTTTAACACAATTAATAAAAAGGACTGACTGGCCAGGTGACTCAGTGGGTAACGCTGTTTGCTGGCGAGACTGGTGGAAGGAGAGAAGCATCGCCCTCAGTTTCCTCTGACTTCCACACACAGTGTGGCGCACACACACCTGTTCTCCCCAACAAATAAGTATACAAATATTTAAATAGAAAATGTGCTTCAGCAAAAGTTTATGCTTGATAGTTAGTTAGCATATATGTAGCAACTTTGTAGACTTCTCTCAGAAACTTTGAACCACAATTCAAAGGATGTGACAGGCCCCTGGCCTTCGTCTGTTGTCATTTGCTTTGCCCACCAAAAACCGTGTTCTAGAGGCCGTGGGCTTGTAGGCAGGCATTTACAAACACGGGTCATCTGGCTTTATTCTCAGATTCCAGACAGCCTACAAGATGGATGACTTTCTGGCTCCCTCCTTAGGAGGAGCTGGCCATTTGTTATTCACAAATAACGCTATAAATGCATATTTAATGGTTGGTATTCAGGATAGTGTGTATATTGTATGTTCATGACTAGATTTTTCTTCCTCACAAAATTGGGCTAACATTAACAGAACCTTTGTAATAAAGACTCATTTCCACGGGAGTAGGGCTCTAACTTTTTTGAAAATGGATAAGTAGTACCATTGTGCTCCCGTGAAAGGAAACAAGATACCTCTGTAGAGAATTTCCAGGGTCTCTCTCTCTCTCTCTTTTTGGTTAAGCTCTCTTTCATGTGTTTTGTCTTGTCAGGTATGGACCACAGGTCCATTATAATTGTTTGGAAACAGCTCCTTCCTTGAATTGCTTTGGAATTAAACATGGAACATCAATTGAGGTAAATGTTTGTTTCACAAGTATATAATTCTGCAATGCACTATTCACATTCTTTAAGAGAAATGAATATGTGTAGTTTAACATATGGAAATAGGCTCCTTGAGTGAATGAGCAGCCGCAGTGCAGCCGGCTGGCCTTCCTGTGGGGAGTCCACAAACAAGGAGTCACTATAGGTACAGAGTGCTCACTTCTGGCATTATATTGCAGGAAAGTTTTAAATATTTAGGTCAAACGAGAATAAACTTTTGGTGGTGGGGGGAGCTGGGTGCTTCTCTGGCACATAAGAAAAGGTGTCAGGCTTAGCTGTCACTGAAAAATTTAGTGGCAGTAATTCAGAACTCCACAAAAATTCACACATAGTTCATTGATATAACAGTGGATTGAATAATCATTTGTAAAGTCCGTCGGCTCTCCTCTACGGACACACCATGACTCTACGGTGCTTCTGGGTGTGTGGTTCACATTGAAACATGGTCCCGCCGGCTCTTCAGATGCTGGGGACATGGTCACACATGGCTGCCATGATCTGTGGCAGGTTACAGCCTTCTCAACAGTGCTCAGTCCTTTCTAAGATTCCTGTTTACATGTGCCTCCAGAATTCTGATCTAACATTTTAAAACCATTTTTCACTTTCCACTGTCCCAAATTGTGTGGTCCAGTCACCCGTTTCTCTGTCCATATCTCCAGTGGCTTTTGAATATCTAAAACATAAATCTTTAAAGAAAGATCTTTGCTTACCATTCTTTTTAAAAAGCCACTTAAAAAGATTCTTGTTGGACCTGACAGGCTGGACGGGAGGGGAGGAGGACCTCCCCTATCAGGTGAATGGTTAGTCCAGTATTGGTGAGAGATCGGGGCTGCTCTTCCCACTCAGTCGCTGGCGCGTGCTCGTTGGGAAAAGTAGATAACCATTCAGCCCACTCTTTCAACAGTTTTCGACTCTCAGTTATCTATGGTTTTGATTTTTGCTGAATAATTCAATGGCAAACACAAATAGAAGCCCACAGGTGTCCCACCCAGTAGGCATCGCACTGCTCCACCCTAACCAGCCCCTCCCAAGGCTCTGCTGATACTCACTGGCCTTGTCAATTCGTGGTCCAGGAGATGGAGAGGGTAGAGTGACTAGGAATCTTGAGATGACGCACAGACCTCAGTCTGCTGCCATTTTGAGACACGCTGGTCTCAGAAGAAGGCTGGAGACAGAACCTGTGGGAAGCCGCACACTCTCTTTGGAGACAGGGTCTTGCTATGTATCTCAGGCTGGCCTGGAGCCTTGCAGAAGTCGTGCCCTGCTAACACTCTGCACAGGAACCGTACATTAAAGTAGAGTGAAAAGGGATCGCAAGTACACTGCAGGAAGCGGAGAAGTGTTGCTAGGACCGGCCTGTGGCAGAGGAGTCAGGCTGAACTTGACTGTTGGCCCGACTTGTTACTTCAGGGCAGCCAGCCCTCCTCTCTAGGGAGAGACTTTGGTAAGCATGGTGGAAATCACTTTCAAGATAAGGTGACAAGTCCCTTGCTGTCTTCCCAGCGTGGTAAACCCATTGCCAGGCACAGACTGCTGGTGAAATGCCCATGGAGCCACACCTGGGTCTGCAGCATTGAGGGCTGAGGCCGCTGGTATAATGGGCATGGGGCAGATCCCTGCCCAGTGGGTGCTGAGGTGACGCTGGCAGCTGGAAGCCTTCATGGTCTGTTCCTGACCTCTGGCCCGTCCTGACTGCACGGCTTTAAGTTGCTGCATTTGGAACAGCTTGTTACACAGCAGAGGACAAGCATTTGAGCTAGGGGTGGGCTTAAGCTGTCTGTGTCAGAGGCCGTCCTCCCAGCTAGTGAGAGCCCCTGCACAATGGAGTGTGAGAGTCCAGGTCCTGTGCAGGACACTGCTCAGGATTGCTACACCCGCTCAGCCCACAGCTCCCCAGCAACGCTTTGTTCTCTGCCTATTCCTCGTGTCTCTGCCCAATACATTCCCCTCAAAACCCCAGTTCAGGTGGTGAAGTTCTGTTGGCTTTGCCTGCTTCCCTTGAAGCTTTTCTTTTTCTTTCTTTCTTTCTTTCTTTCTTTCTTTCTTTCTTTCTTTCTTTCTTTCTTTCTTTCTTCTTTCTTTCCTTCCTTCCTTCCTCCCTACCCCCTCCCTCCCTCCTTCCTTTCTTTCTTTCCTTCTTTCTTTTTTCTTTGCTTCCTTCCTTCTTTCTCACTCTTTGTTCTTAAAAGTATTTAGTGTGTGTGTGTGTGTGTGTGTGTGTGTGTGTGTGTGTGTGTGTAAAAATGAATGTCAGATGATGGCATTAGACCCCATAGTGTTGGAATTATAGGTGGTTGTAAAATTCCAGATATACATCTAGGAACCAAATTTGGATCATTTGGAAAAGCAGCAAGAGCTCTTAACATTGAGCCATCTCTCCAGCCCCACAAATGGCCTTTAGGAAAAAAAAAAAAGGGGGTGTTTTCTGAAATAGAGTCTCCTCTAGTCCAGGCTGGCCCCAAGCTCACTATGCAGCTGAACATGACCTTGAACTTTTGATCCTCTGAGTTCTGGAATTACAGGTATGAGCCACCAGCCCTGGTTTATGTGGTCCTGAGGATCAAACCCAGAATTTCATGAATTCTAGGCAAGTGCTCATCCCCTGAGCTATCGCCTGCCCCACAAATGACCCTTCTCCTTTGTACGCTTTTAATTACATTGTGTGTGCGCACTATGTGCGTAAGGACTCACACTTATGCACACGCAGGGTGGGACACTCATGGACGGCAAACAACATATTGCAGAGTCAGCCCTTCACTCCACCATGCTGAGCCCAGGGTTGAACTCACGCTTAGTGGGAAAAAAGCCTTTCTTGGCCTTTCTCTTTCTCATGCCTCAGGCCTTCCACTCCTTGATACTCCTAGTTGCCTGCTCTGAAAGGCAGAAGCCGCAGTGCTCCCTGTTGTTCTGTGCCTGCTCATCCTCTTGACCCCCTGCTTCCCCCCGCAGGCTGTCACCGCTAGACCACGCCCCCACCCACTGGTGCAGTGCTTTCTGATGTAGAACCCTTCATCTGCATCGTACCACCCCTGCCCCACACACTCCCTAACCCTATGCATGGCCTTTATGGTCCATCACAGGTTTGTAGGGTGGAGACCCAAGCACTCCTATTACCACTGCCTGCTAAGGATGCAGTAGATGGAGAGAGAGAGAGAGAGAGAGCACAGCTGCACAGGCCTCCTGGGTGCTCACACTTGTAAAGCCACGAAAAGTGTCCTCTGAAGTGGCTCCAGGTCTCCACACGTTTTTTTAAGCAATCCCCTCTTGCAAATTTAAGCTTCGGCTAGGACAGTGCCACGTGATTGATAATTCTTTCTGTGGGACTTACAGGTTCATAAACTAAAAGTCATAACGTCATTGGCCACAGCTGTGTGATATCCTTATTCTTTACATGGATATAACATGGGTCATAGTCACAACTTAATAACAACCCGAGCAGGGCTCAATAAAAGTCACCATCAGGCACTAGAAGTGTCCTTCTGTTTACTTCCCTGCCAGAGCCTGGCGACCAAATCAGGTTCAGATAGAGATTAATTGCCGCCTGAGAATGGACACCCTTCCAGCATGATGTAGCAAGAAGCCACCTGGGGCTATGTGCTAAGCAGAAATGGGGGTCTCAAGCTTCTATCCCATGCAGGGGTGCTGGGTCAGAGGGCACCCGGGGACTCTGATTGGGGGCACACACCACAAATGACAATGACACTCAGTTCTGTGCAGAAATTCCTAATGGTTACACTGTCTGAAATCTCTGAAAAAAAAAAATGAAAATAATTATTTCCAAGAAAATTACCAAGATGAGTTTGGCCTTGGAGAATCCTTTCGTGCTTTCTTCACCACAAGGAACCAAGAGGACCTCACACTGAAGAGGGATTAAGAACCATCTTCCATGCCCATTTAAATAACTCTATTACTTGGATACCCTGGGGATGAAGGGACACAAGGCCAGGACCTCTGTCCTCTCCAGGTGGTCAGTCCTGGCAAGCTCCTTGATGGCTGGAGGAGAACCCCAGCTCAGCAGACAGTTTACGATTTATGTACCGAATTCAGGGCTAAGATGTTCCTGGCTTCTTAGATGTATGTCCTGAGTTTCAGGAAATCCAGAACCCTGGAGGGTAGCAGTGTCCCTAATTGTCCGGGATGCACATCCACAGGCTTAATATTCTGGGAAGCTAGGCTCACTGGATAGATGATGAAAACCAAGAAAGGAAAAGTCAATGCAAATAACAAAGATGTCTGGCAAGGTCATAGACCACAGGCCAGAACTTTGCTTTAAAAATAAAAGCAGGGGTTCCTCAATGTGAGTTTGCATTGTAGTTTACCAGATGCGGCTCTCAGGGAGAAAGAACTGGAGAATGTGTACAAAGCGTGATGTCAGAGAGGGCTGTGCTCAAACAGTAGGTACCAAAATCAGGAAGGCTCACACAGTGGTGCCAGAGAGGCATTGCTAACTGTGGGTGAGAGAAATACATACAAACTGGGTGCTGTAGCCGGCATTTTACTACTCTGTGGGTTCCTTTCTTCCTCTTCCACCTTCTCAGCCCTTATTGTTCCCTTAACACTAGACAGGAGGATAGATGGGAAAGATTCTTAAACTACTTCCTGCTTATCATACGTCTTGAATTCCTTGGGGCAAGTTTGATCTTTGCTGTCAGGACATCTTACTTTTTCTAATTTGTTTTCACAGGACTGTTTGACACACAGTCAGCCAACCACCAGCAACAACATCGGCCGCAACCACACAGTTCAGGGCACCACCTCTACATCCTCTGAGAAGTTCCCAGAATTCCAAACGTCATACCCTCATGGAAACTATCTGAGGCCGGCAAAACCACACCACTGCTAGAGCATGAGGCAAATCATAGTCAACCTCTGTGAAGTGGCCTTTTATTCCCACACCTGGGATTAAAAGGAAAATATATTTCCATAACGTGTGTGTGTGTGTGTGTTTTAAGAAACCAAAATTACAAAATCTCACTACAGGGTACCAGAGAGAAGCATGGGCAAAGTGTGATTCCAGAGAAGCTTAGGGACATGTGGCATCCTTCATTAAAGGTCCCTAATGACACATCTCTGCCATTTGGAAGAAGATGCTTGGCCCAGATAAGAGGGCAGAGGGGACAAGTGCCTCCTCCCAGCTGCTGAAGAGCCATTGGCACAGGCCCCCACGGGAATCTGTGGTAGGCTCAACAGAAGGCTAAAAGCAGAAGGATGGAGAGTTCTAGGTCAGGCTGAGCTACATGGTGAGACTGCCCAAAAGATAAAAAATGAAGATGGAGGCAGAGGAATTTTTATACCGTGAAGCAGCTAGATATTTCCAGGAGGACGTGTTCAGATCTAGCACTTGTCCAGATCTTTGGAGTCTCGTTTGATGAAGAAAGTCAGATGTTCAGATTATTTTTGCAAACTTTTTCAGTGGTGAAAAATCTCGGTGCAGTTGTGTGTCCTTAAGATGGCATGCTGGAGCCCTAACCCTGCAGGCCTCAGGACATGACCCATTGGGAAAGGATCTTCAGAGGTAGCCAAACCCAGAAAGGTCATGTGCTGACCCCAATCCATAGCCTGTGCCCTTTCCTTGTCATAGGAAACTCGGGACACAGGAAAACACATGGAGGAGGGAGTGGAAAAGCACACAGGGAGTAGAGTAGCATGCGGCATGGCCTGGAGACATGTGGCCATGGCCGAAGAGCACTCACGGACATGGCAGGAAGGACCCTTTCCTGGAGCTCCTGCAGGGAGCTAGGCCCCGTGCACTCTGACTTAGGGACCTATTGGTTAGGCTGCCAGGCAGAGGGTACCACTCTAGAAGACACAGGAATTCACACATCACCCAGCAACACGTGCCTGTGGTCTTCTAGGCCAAGCACACACCCGCATGTCTATGTGCTGGACCTGGCACATGCACAGAGCTTAACCCATCTCAGAACTGTTCCCACCTGCTGCTGAGCCTTTTCTTCCACCACCGTGAACATGAGCCAACTTCTGTCCTTACCTGACCATCACTTCTCCTCCTCCTAGCCCAGAACCATAAAAAAAATGAAGTGTGACTGTTGGCCTTTATGTTCTCAACACAATGTGGAGCAGAGTGACATGGAGGAAGAACCCCGTGGCACATTCCTACACTCAGCCACCAGCTTACACTGCTCTTCCTCATTAGGGAACTCTTCAATCGATATCAAACGGAAATAGTCCCCTTTGAATTCATCTAACATGTTATCTTTCCAGCTCTCCATCTTTTCCTCTGGATATTGTAAGACAAGTAACAAACCAACAACCCACGGTATTGAGTGGCGCCCATGATGCCCATGGCCATTCCTTGGTCCCTCAGAGACACTAACACAAAGAAAGGGGGGAGCCCCCATCTGTGAGGCCACTTGCCCTAGTGTTTCAGGGCCACCTATTCGTAGTCCCAGAATCTACCTTCCATCCCCTGCAAACACTTCCCAAGTGCTGTCATATTTCTGACACAGTTCCCAGCTCTCCAGTCTCTGGGGTGCCCCTGACACGAGTATTGGGATCCGGTTATGCTGGGAGGCCTCACACGCAATTTATCTGCACTGGCCTCCCAGCCACACAGCCCAACGCTACTTAGCAGCTCTCCGGGGCCACGACAGGCACACGCGCGTGCGCTGCACACGCCGAGTGTGCCCTGCTCACGGGATGGAAGTAACACCTAAGTGCCCATGTCTGATTGCCACCAAGGTGACTCTGCCCATGTGGCCTGGCTGTGGTTTGCTCTAAAGAGAAGTGGAGAAATGAGGGGCTGCCCCTTGAGGTCCACAGCAACAGGCAGCCACCAGGCCCCCCATAGCTCATCCCATAGTGGTGAGTAAACATTCACCTCGGTGGGTGTGGCTTGCCTGGAGCCCTGACTTCTATGAATCACACTGTGGCGCTTTGAAAAACAAAAACAGAGAACAAGTACGTCTTCATTGCTAAGAGGGGCTGGCGGTGCGTGTGGTGCTAAGGTCATCCGTCTTACTCTCTTCCCTTGCCGTCTGTTCCACTGCTATCTTTTGATCAGTTATTGGCTCCAGAGTGCTGGCTGTGCATCCTGGCCATGAAAGTACAGGGTTTTGTCCTACAGGGCTGGTCATGTGACCCTCAGAGTCCCCAGGAACTTGGTCTGTACACTCAGGATCTTTCCAAGGTGATGAGAACAGGGGGATTGGCCCAAGGGCAGCTTCAATAAAGAGAAAACGCAGCAGCGTAGAAAAAAGCTCTCTGAGAAAAATGTGCCAGCTGATTCATTCTTCAGAAAGTCACTATCCTACAGACCCAAGAAGCCCAGACCTTGTAGGGCGAATGGACTCAAAGCAGATATAGGAAGCTGCTGCCTGGCCACTCCTCGGCACGCACAGGCCTCCCTGGGGCCCCACCTACCACTGTTGGCATTTGGGGGTCTCCTGTAGCCTTCACTGAGCAAATGCAGTTTTGCTCTGTTCCAGAGAAGCTTTCTGGGGTCTTTCTGCGCTTCACACCGAGGAGAGGCGTAAAGAAGCTTGAGGAGGTAGGCAAGGCCTGGGAGCACGTCTCACAAGAACAGGGGGCACAGTGAGTGTGTGCAGTCCTCTCGGGAACACCTGACAGACCGTCAAGATGAGATGCCAGACAAGGGCTTTCCTCCTCCAGAGGGAAGGAGAGAAAGAAGATGAGGAAGCCACGGTAAAGGGGTCTGCCCACACGGAGACGCTGCAGAGTCTGGCATCCTCCTCAGGTATCCGAAGATGACGAAGTTGTAACCGTCTGCTCTGGTGACAGCATCACCCCGGAGCATGGCATCCTGGCTGATATCACCGTGGAAGCCACTGGCCCACAGCCGGCAGAAGCCATCTGGCTGCGTGAATTGGCATGAACCGAGGTGGCTACGAGATGGTGCTCCCAGGTGCTCCCGGGTGCAGCAGTGCAGGCCTGCGCCCGAGCTTTGGGGAGATCTCGCCTGAGCAGCAGCCTGCCACAGCAGCCTGCCACAGGAGTGCCTGAGGAAGCACTGCTCCACAGAAACGCAACAGGGCCGATGTCCAGCACCATGGTGGTAGTGGTGGGGTGGAGTGCTCCCACACCAGTGATCCGTACCCCGACACAGCCCTAAAGCAGAACATGGAGGGACTATGATTTAAGCAGGGTGCCTCTTGGGGCTGCCTTCCTGGCAGAGCCTGCAGGCCCGGCCAGTGTACAGGGTACTCCAAGAAGAAAACACATACTTCGAGCCTCGTCCTGAGAAACTGTGGGACAGCAGAGCCCCTGCTGCCGAGCCCCTGCTGCGAAACGTTGACCATTTTCAGCATCTCTCCGGATGCAAGCACCTACACAACAGTGGCTGGTTACTCTCTAAGCAACACTTACATAGTCCTGAGCCTCACAAGCGGGGGAGACAGCTGACAGGGTGACAGAGGTCCATGCTGAGTGCTGGCTCCAGGGTGGGGAGTCAGCAACCTGACGTCACCACCAGTAGCCCTGCTGGGTCCTTGGGCCCACCAGAGTTGGGCGACTGTCTGTTTGGTTAGGGTGGGCTTGCACTGGGCTCCTGGGAGAGGAGCTGACTCTCCCCACCCTGCCCCTTATCTGTCTAGGAAGAAGGTGTTCCTTGAAGCCTCCACAGGGCCGTATGCAGCTCGCATGGGGTCCTCTCACACAGCAGGACTGCTGGGTTTCAAGCCATCCCGCTTCTCAGCGGGCCCCATCCATCCTGCAGCTCTGGCCCTGGCTGCTCCCTGGTGGCGGGCACAGGCTGGGGTGGCTGGAGCTCAGCAGCGACAGCCACTGCTGGCTGCCCGCTCATGCCTTGCTCACCGCACACCTGCTGCGAAATCTCCAAAAGCAGAGCACAGAAGCTCAGCTCCATGGTGGCCATGGTCCTGGCAGCATGGCAGCACTAACTGCTTCCACCAGTGCGTCACTCCTAGATGTTAACACGGGTTGTTTGTCGGCTTCCTCTAAGTGGCCATGTTCTCACGATGATGAGCCACCCAGCCCTGGGCTGTCTTCCCCAGAGAACCACATTGCGTCTCTAGGAGAAAAATGCTTTGTCCTTGATTTTTCTGTGGGTGGCCTTGCCATGGTGATGCCTCTTTTTTTAACTTGCTATAAATTCCTTTTGTAATCTCTCCTAAGCCATCGTGTGGATGCTGAGGGCCATGAGAATAAATAAACCTGCAATAAGTGTGAGGTTTGGGAATATGATAAAATCTAAATAATTTGAATGAACTTGGTAAATGATTTTACAGCTCTTGAACTATCTGCTAATTTGACAAACAGTGGCTTAGAGGAGGACGGGCTATTTTTAAAGTAATTCATTTTCTCTGTTTCTGTGTCACCTCAGTCAAGAGCTGAGTTAGGAAGCCTCTGCAAGCTAGACAGTCCTGGGCATGGGAGGGGCAGGCAGCCGGGCCAGGCTGAAAGCTGGGTGGCTGTTTTTTCTCTGGTAGTTTCAGTGGGTGCACAGGGAAATGCCTGCCTCTTCCCCTGGCCTTTGAATGAGTGCCCAGATGCATACAATGCTCTGAGAAACCTGCATATTCCGGCCATTTTGGTCTCCCATTCTGGGTGCTCCAGTTGATCACTATGACATGCACGACCCTCTAGACCCCCCAAGTCTACGTTAGCGGCTAAGCAGCTGGGACCCCAGAGTCCCTGCTGGGAGCCCAAGCATCCGGTTTCTAGTGACCCCAGCCCAAACTGCCACCACAACTTTAGGCTCTGTGCAGCCACCAGGCTTTAGCCTTCCTTCCCAGAAGCATGCTCACTGTGTCTCTCTCCTCCAGCTTCTGCCTCCGGCCAACCCCTGCCCTGTTTAGCTTTGCAGCAGAACTCTAACTCCAGGCTGATTTTGACAAGTCTGCCTCATGAGAGAAGAACACAGTTTGAGCCCCTTTAATATTTTTTTCAGGTATATAGATATGTCAGCATTTATCTGGCATG